ATATACGCAGCAATAAAGTTTCTAAACGATTGCTAAATCTAGAGGATGTATTGTGGTTGTAATCGTATGTTTCTATTCTGAGCCTCAACACTTTTTTTTTATACCGTAATACCCAAGTTCATCTAGCACACATCTAACACTGACACGCATCTAACTTAATATTATGCAATATGGGGTCTATTCCTTTTCATTTTTTTTTGAATATTTGATCATTAAAAGCATGAGAAAACAGAGGAACAAAGGATAAGTTAGAAGGATTTTCGCTGTTTCTTCTCCGGCCAGAGGAACCTCATTTTGAAACGGTTAAAAACATTTTTAATTTATGTTTCTGATATAAAATGTATAAAATGGACACAGAAGGGGCCACGGCCATTGCCAACCTAATCAATACAAGTGTTGAAACTGGCATTTATCCCGACGCACTAAAGATAGGATGTTTTAGACCAATATACAAGAAAGGAAGACGGGATTATTTCCTGAACTATCGACCAATCACTTTATTATATTCAATATATAAAATAGTAGAAAAGTATGTGTGTGAACAAATTTATAAATTCTACAATACGCACGATGTAATATATCAAAATCAGTATCGTTTTCAAGCTGAGAAGGGTACAAATGATCTCTTGATGAAGTTAACAGATGAAATTAACGAGTATCTTAATAACAAAAACATGTACTCGTCCTATTTATAGACTTTTCACGGGCATTCGACACTCTTGATCATAAACAAATTATCACTAAGTTGGACGATTGTGGAATACGGGGATCTCTTCTGAGATGGTGTACAAATTATCTCAAAAATAGGAAATTCTCTGTGAGAATAAATGACACACACAGCGACCCGGTGACTGTAACTGAAGGCACAGCACAGGGATCTGTGCTTGGCCCCCTCCATTTTCTGTCATATGTAGACGACATGCGCTTTTACATAAATCACTGTTCATGCTACCAGTTTGCAGATGACACATGTTTGCTAGTCGCCGATAAAGACCCTGATATAGCATGTGAATTGTTACAGTCTGACTTTAATATGCTTGCAAAATGGTGTCATGACGCCGAATTGGTTCTGAACTTCACTAAAACCAAGCTGTTACACATAAAGTCTCCTTATATCAAGTGTACTTTATCCAAGCACATAGTTGCTCACAATCATAGTTGCCTTCACTCCTCTTGTAAAAACACATGTAGTTGCCCCTCTATAGATCTCGTCAATACCCAGACATATCTCGGAATGCAGATCGATAGTAAGTTTACTTGGCATAACTACATCGAGTATGTTTGTAGCAAATTAAGACAATTCTTAGCTAATATTATAATACTGAAGAACAGAATTCCGTTCCCAGTTAATGATGTTGTTATATAACGCTCTAGCAGAATCGTATATACAGTATGGTTTATGTAGTTATGGTCGTACATATAATACTTATTTAAACAAAATATATAACCTCCAGACAAGAATCCTTAAAAATATTTTAACAGACAAAATTCGACGTCAATTTCATAATGATGATAGTATGCTCTTCAAGCACTGTAATATATTACCAGAGCATACGCAAGTCAAATATTTACTACTAAAAAAACACTTTTTACTGAAGACTTAATATTAGAAATCAAGCAACCCGTGTGCGTACGCGCGCCGTTAGCAGCCGCAAGCTGCAGACGAGTCGTGCAAACAACATGTAAGGGAAACGAACGGCAGGTTACATTGTTCTAAGACTTATAAACAACCTACCCCCAGAATTCCGCGACAAATTAAATATAAAAAACATTTAAAAAAAAAAACTTAAATTGTACTTTTTGGATAACTTATAATGGTACTACTTAAAACAGCTTTTATGCGTTTGCTCAGGTCCTATTAGGCTGTAAATGCTTTCTTTTTTCTTTTCTTACAAACGTAATTAATTATTAATTATACTTTAATATAATGTCGACTCAGGTCGCGTCAGCACAAACCTTAGTGGTTTTTTGTATGCGACTTTTTAGCATAGTTTTTTTCTTGTAATGCTTTTTGATATGGTAAATAAATAAAAAAACCGTTTCAAAATGAGGTTTAAACAAACAACAAAATTTTGTTTGACGTTAGTCGAACAAAATTATAATTTCTTAGGGTGAAAAATAAATAAATTTAATTTCATCCAATATTCAATACAGCACCAGTACGCAGAAAGTGAGTCCTGTACAAAAATTAGGCCTTCAAAATCCAATAAAAATATATTAGTAACAATTACGAATTAGATCATATTGTATATTTTAGTTTTAAGGTGATTGATTTCATTATATTTCCCGCATGTAAACATATACAGAGTATCCAATTGTTAACCTATCTGTTGTACGGCGCGACGTAGCAATTAAGGATCTGCTTCATACTCGTAACTTGATGATATGAATATTCTCAGTGAGAAAGTTTAAAGGAAACAATTGTAATTACCCTTGTTTCTTTTTTTTTTGTATAAATTTTTTATTTTTGAAGAGAATAAAATTATTGTTCCGGATCGGCAATAAAGTAGTACGTCCATAGTTTTTGCTTGTTACAAAACATAATTTTGATGAAAATTTTGTTTTGTAACAAACAAGGACTTTTGAACTTTTCCGCTACAAATTAAACAAAAATGTTTAACTTTTCTGAATTAAAAATATATAAAAACCAGAGGAAAAACTGTTTCCCCGTAGCTAAACAAGTTGAAGCAACAGTCAGGGCGAAGTCCTCGACAGCAAATACTATTGTTACGTAAATTATTTTCATTAGCAATGGTAGTCGACAACTCTCTGTATGCATCCCTCCCCTTTTCGCCCTCGACCACCTTCTCACTTCCAAAGGTAAGCATGAGTTGCTCTCATTAATATTCGCACAAGAGCGTATCGTATATATGGGGATCGGTTCCGCGACTTTTTCTGATAGCTAATGATTTTTTCTTGATACATTCAATTTTTTGCGATCGTATGGTTACGTTTTCATATAAGTGTTTGGACTTTTAGGAAAATACTAAGTCAATTTTAGAAACACACTATAAAACACTATTTTTATATGATAGGAGGCAAACGAACATGCGGCTCATCTGAAGGTGAGTGACTACCGCCTCCCATGAACGACTGCAACACCAGGGGAATTGCACATGCGTTGCCTTTTAAAAAAGTATAGGCTCTTTCTTTGGAGGTCTCTAGGTCGTATCGATCCGGAAAATCTCTGGTGGTAGTCGATTCCACAAGGAAGTTGTGCGAGGAAGAAAACTTCTTGTAATTCGCACAGTAGCGGACCTATAATCATCCAGGTGGTATGGTATCTCGAACTCTGTCACGATGTGCGATGGTGTAATTGAGCAGCTGGAATTAGTCCGAATAATTTATTGGGAGAGTATTTAGGGAGCGTAACCAAAACTAAACTACTATAACGATATATTTTAACGATAAATCTATATATCTTGTAATATAGGAAAGGTGTCAATCATGGAGACGTGTGGTTGATACTAAAACTTTAATTAGACTGCCTCATTATTCTACCTTAACACTAAAGTATATTAACGTGGGAGCACTACACTACAATCTAAAGGGTGTATCTATAAATAAAATGGAAGTGTCTGTCTTTAGATAATATAAAATGAACTGCGTTGAACTGAGCTAAGGGGTTATTTGCATGCTATTAAAACATGAATAGCTATATAAATGTTTGTCTATTTATCTGTTGGTCTGTCTGTTTGTGCTGGATAATAATTGGAATACCTGAACCGACTGCAATGAAACATCACGAACAGATAGATACCAATGCTAGGAGTGATCTGGGCCGGTATATGTTTCATCCGAAAAACTTAGTGTATTTTTTTTTAAAAATCAATAAATTTATAAGATAAATGGGTTTGATGATTATCTTCCAGACATGAAGATGAATGAAAATCATCCAGTCTGTTCGAGATGTGGCTGGGCGTGGTTCTTATCAAAAAGTTGCGGTTTCATAAACAGATTGACGGAATTGTTACAAGGGGTTTTCAAATGTTTGGATGCGTGTTGCGAATTTAAGGAGACCTTTATAAAAAAACCTTGTACAAGTCTTTAGTCCACTCCGGCCTCGAATACTGTAGCCAGGTCTGGTCTCCATTTTATGACGTTTACGTGAAATGCATAGAGCGAATCCAAAAACGTTTTTGTGGCATCTTTCGTACCAAACCTAGAAAATAAAGGATCTACTTAATTGTCAACGGAGCCGTAAACTGCCCATATCTACTAAATTCAATAAATTTCACTGTGCTATTCAAGCTAGCGCGTGTCAGCCGATACGACCTTTTCAGTTAAGGACAGTAAAACTAATTTAGGTCACCACGCCACAATAAACACGTTACAGAGGCAATATAACACGCTCTGCAAGTCATGTAACGTCGATATCTTTGCTGATAGGCCCCAAAAATTCATAAGAAAAATTTTGCAGCCCACCGCTGTTAGCTAAGATTTAGCTCTAGTTAACATAATATATATTAATAATAACGCAAATTGCTAGAATGATTTTAAGAAACATATTTGTAGTCCACATTGCGTGGCATGGCAACCCTTAATTAACACGACACTTCGATATAAACTTACCTATTATTTCTAGTATTTACATTACGTTCTTGTATGTCTTGTTGGTTGTCCTAACAAAATAAATAAATAATAAATCATAAATCAATTTTTTATAGGATAAGGTGACAAACAAGCACACAGACCACCTGATGGTTAGTGGTTCACCGCAACCAATACAACAATAGACATCTACATTTAATCTCGCGTTGTCACTCGTGAAGACTAAGATGGAATGTCTTATTTCTAGTAAAAAGGGTCTCCGGTTCTCTACACTCACCATAAGAAACACACCATTAGCACTAAGCTACTATTTTACGTTGGTATTCTGTGAGAGCGTGGTCCTTCCCCGTTCGAGCCGACCCATTCGCGCTATAACCGTAACATAACCGCAGCATGGCTCTACCACATAAAAATATTGTGCCATTAATTAAGCAGGGTTCTGGACTTACCTTCTGCTTGTCCAGCTGTTGCATGATGTCATCCACATCGCCAACGGCGACCGACTGCGCGCGCAGCATGTCCACCTCCACAGACACCCAGTCTCGGATCTGCAACAAAATATGTCACCAGATGTAACCAGTTCATCGTCCAAATATATAATCCAACAATATTAATGAAGTAATTTAACAAAAAAGTAAGTTGGCGATTACCCATCGGAAAGCGGATATCATCAGTTATTTTATATTATAGTTAGGGATTATTATTATAATTAGGGCTGTGGAAATACTGTGCAGTGGTCGGAAAACTAATTGCCGTAATTGGTAGGTAGGTAGGTAGGCAAGGTAACACTTATAATTATAACTGATGGTTCTTTTATTTTATTATAAGCTAGTGCTTGATCACAATCTCACCCGGTGGTGATGAAGACAGTGCGATTTACCACCCAAGGCAGATGGTAAATCGTACTGTCTCAGCATAGGAGAAGCCTACTCACCCTTGCCTTGAGACGACCAGATTATATTCGCACGGCAAGGCAGACGCCGGAAATTTGTTCCACTATTCTGTTGTACCAAGTACGAAAGACGAAGCAAACCGTATGGTTCGAATGTGTGGAATCGACTACAAATTGATGAAGAGTGAAGACTCTTCGACCGCCTGGCTGTTCGATGGTGGAAAGGGCAGTGAGGAGTAAAAACATGTAATTCCTCCTTAGGTAGGTAAAAGTTAAAATATTGTATTTAGTAAAAAAGTATAAAAAGCTTAGATTATTGATAGGTCCTCGCGTGCTCAGACCGCGCGAAGGCCTATCAATAATCTAAGCTTTTTAAAGATAAAAAGTAAGAAATATTTACTTTCAATAAATTTTATTTACTAGCCGATCCCCCCAGCATCGCACGCGTGTTTTCCAGGTCTCGACAACGCCGCCACCTACCGAGTCCAAATTTTAATATAAACCACCAAAAAATTTCATCAAAATCGGTTGATGGTTTCAAAGTCTATAACGGACATACATAGGTAGAAACATTTTTTGTGTTATATAGGTAGATAATTTTTTTTATCGCCCCGTATGTCCGTTTATCTTAAGGAATATATACGGGAGGCCTACGTCCACAGAGGCTCTTTGGTGGGCTGCAATAAATTATGAACTGATATAATGGTCCCCTTACGTTAGACCCGTACGTATAATAATATTTATAGTCAATATAGTCGGCAACCCTAGTCCACATTGATTTAAAAAATATTGAAAAATCTATGGAGCGACATCTGACCAATTAGTAAATTACAATAAAATCTGAGCTAAAAACTGGTATCAAATTTCAATTTCATGAAAGCCCGGTCGAAACAATAATAGCAAGGATCCACAAAACTCGCCGTTCGCTCAAGTATTTTTTTCTTAAAACAGCAACAACCCTGCCAGATTCGAACTCGGGAGGCAAATTAACAACGGCTTAACCGCTTAGCCGTAATTTTTATTACTAAACAGCTTCTACCTGCGGCTTCACTTACGTTTAATTAAGACCCAACGATTTTTTTATTACTGAAATTAATTTAACTAAAAATCGCTCTACTGTTAATCACTTCTTTAGTTTGTAATTTTTTTTAATCTTATAATTCTATCTATTATGGTGCAAGCAGCTCAAGCTGATAGATATAGATATTTTATTAAAGAAGTTTTTGCACTCAAACTTTAAAAAAAATATATAGTCTATGTCCTATTTTGGTTTGTCATCTATAATATTGTCAAGATATATGAAAATGTTCTTACGTGAGTGAGCCATGAAAACACAAATATTCAAACAAACTTTCATATTTATAATAAAATAAAGATTAGTAGGACTAGTAGGAGATATTCAACGTCCACGAGCGACCGTTTTGCTCAACAATTCGAGCAAAAATTTCGAAAGTATTATAAAAAACACCTTTTTTAAATTTTTTGACAACGATAACTTTGGAATAGATCAATAGGAATAGTTAAATCGATTTTGAAGTAACTGGTAGCAATTAACAAGGTATTTTAAGAACAATAATAAAATCTATTTAAAAAAAAAAACCGATAAGACTATAAATTCAAAACTTATGTGAAAAAAAATTTTTCGAATTTTTCCGTCATGTCTCTTCGACGCATTAACCGATTTTAAAACGATTCACAGCGATGGATCTCGTTTTCCATGTCTAAGAGCTAGTTAGATTATGGAGTTCATCTTTACATCTGTTTAAAATTTCATTTTTTAGATTTCTCACACTCAAATCTAACGGTCCATATGGGTTGAAACAATATTGAAAATCTAAGTTTGGTGAAAACCTTTCGAACCCACCAAGTTCGCTCAAATCGGTCAAACCGTTCAAAATTAGGAGGTTTACATAAATGCACACACACACGCACGCACGCACGTACACACATACATATACAAACATAGTGACATCCTTGTAGGAATAGTCAAAATAGCTGCCTAGGACTTCAAAACGTCGAGATCTGATGAAACCTCGACTTTCGAAAACTGGGGTTAAACCAATAACTCTTTTTTATAGGATAGGGTGACAAACAAGCACACCGTCCACTTGATGGTAGGTGGTTGCTGCGGCCCATAGACATCTACATCCATCCTCGATTGCAAATCAAAATGCAAATGCGTTGTCACCCGTAAGGACTAAGATGGAGTGCCTTGTTTCCAGTAAAAAGGGTATCCGGTTCTCTACACTAACCATACGAAACACAGCAGCATTAAGCTACTATTTTACGCAGGTATTCGTGAGAGCGTGGTCCTACCCCGGTCCAGCCGACCCATTCGTGCTACAACTATTATAATGTCCTCCAGATCGAATTTCGGCCACGGCGGCCTGCCTCAACGGAGGCTAGCCATCAGCGCAGGACAGGATTATAGTGCCCAAGCGTATGCGCAAAGCACAAGTGCACTCTCTATTCCCTCACTCTCATAACCCGATGGGACGGTATTCGACACGACCGGAGAGAGATCAGGCCCAGGACCAACGGATTTACGTGCTTTCCGAGGCACGGGGTTGAGAAACTGCCAACTTCCTGACTCCGGGCAGCTACCGAGAATTTCTTGAAGGAAACTCAATAATTGATTTTTTGGCCCGACCCGGGGTTAGAACCCAGGACTTCATAACCAGCATTCGCACTACTACAACCACTAGACCAACGAGGCAGTCAAAAAAAGAAATACTACATATACTACATATGTGGTACAAATTATACATGTGTAGGTACATACATCTATATGTTGCTGGTTTCTCGGGAACCGTTCTGAATATTTGGATAAAATTTTGCACTAAGATAATGTTTGTACAAGTTTATCTAAAATAGCACCCAGGATACTTATATTCAAACATAAATCAAATTGAGAATTGCAATGCTGAGTAAGAGATCTGCTCGGAGACAAAAACTCCCCGAGTCCGGCTCAGCACCGAGCTCCAGCGCTCCGAGGCCGACGGGTCATCCACGACCGCAATCCCGCCAGTGCCATAACGTCGCCATTCCGAATACTGATTTACACTGCCTCGCTTCAGACTCATGGGCTATTAATGCAGACGTGTCCGCTGGTTCTGTTTTAGACGTATGCCTGACTCCTATAATTAGAAAACGTTTTTCTTTATCGTTACATCTTTACACAGTGCACATGTTTACAAAATGCATTGGGATTATGTGTAAAGGTCCATACCCCAAAATCTTAAGTTTTGAACCAGTGTCAATATAACGTTGGTGATGGGCCTCTAGAATAGCCCCGATTGATATTAGATTAAAGCTATTCTCCTTAGAGCACCATAGATCTACCTTCTGGCCATTCGATCTTCTCAGCATTTCTTTAACTTAGATTTGACAGCATACAGGCAACTGAATAGACAGATCTCCAAATGCACGAGGCGAGACTTACGCAACTTTAATACTGCTCGTATTAAAGAAGCGATCGAGCGGAACCAGGACTCAAAAGTCTTTGCCAGAGATCTGTCTGCCAGAAAGAGCCAACTGTCAAAGCTGAATACTGAGTGTGGCAACATCGTTTCCGGGACACCTGAGATTCTGAGTGAGATTGAGAGGTTCTATGGGCAGCTGTACACATCATCGTTGGAGCCACACGCAAGTGTGAGTAAGGATCCAAGAGCAAGTCTTATCCGACACTATTCCGATGATATCCCGGACGTCAGTCTGAGCGAGATTAGAATGGCTCTCCACCACCTTAAAAACGGCAAGGCCCCGGGCGAGGATGGAATTACAGCGGAGCTTCTGAAAGCGGGTGGAACACCGGTACTTGAAGTCCTTCAGAAGCTCTTCAATTCCGTCCTCCATGGTGGCACTACTCCGGTGGCGTGGAGCAGAAGCGCGGCGGTCTTGTTCTTTAAGAAAGGTGACAACGCTCTCTTGAAGAACTACAGACCGATTTCCCTTCTGAGCCGCGTCTACGTGCTGTTTTCGAGAGTCATTACGAATCGTCTCGCACGCAGATTCGACGACTTCCAGCCTCCCGAACAAGCCGATTTCCGAAAAGGCTTCAGTACCATAGACCACATACATACCCTGCGGCAGATTGTACAGAAGACCGAAGAGTACAATCTGCCACTTTGCCTGGCGTATGTGGACTATGAGAAAGCCTTTGATTCCGTCGAAATTTGGGCGGTGCTACAGTCCCTTCAGCGGTGCCAAGTTGACTGTCGGTATATCGAAGAAGTGCTGAAGTGTTTGTACAGTAGGGCTACGATGGCTATCCGAGTACAGAACCAGAGTTCGAAACCTATCCAACTGCAGAGAGGTGTAAGACAGGGTGACGTTATATCCCCGAAACTCTTCACCGCTGCGTTGGAAGACATTTTAAGCTACTGGACTGGAAAGGATACGATATTAACATCAATGGCGAGTACATCACTCACCTTCGATTTGCCGATGATATAGTCCTTATGGCAGAATCGCTAGAGGACTCAAGCACTATGCTCAATGACCTCAATAGTGCCTCCCTAGTGGATAGGTCTTAAGGTGAACATGGACAAAACAAAGATTATGTTTTATGTCCATGTCACACCTATGCCGGTAGTTGTTGGGAGCACTATGCTCGAAGTTGTAGACGAGTACGTTTACCTGGGACAAATAGTCCAA